CGGGGCCGCCCCTTGTGCCGCCGCAGGGCCCGCCCGCTCTCACCCGCCGGCACGCGGGCAAGGGCAGCGACCTGCGGCTACTGACACAGTGCCTGGCTTCCAAGAAGGTCGGAGCCAACCTCGGCCTCGTCCCACTAACGCAGCAGCAGCCCCTCTCTTTTATTTCCCTCTCAACTTGCCTCCCGTCGCTGCCACCTCTCAGTCATCTCTGAAAGTCAGCCAAGATTCACTGTACGAAGCTCTAATGCAATCCCTGGCTTCTCCCCAGTTTGGTCTTCAGGTGTCAGTCTCAAGAGTGTGTTTCTGCTCGGTGTCCAGAAGAGTTCTGGTTATTGCCTTTTTAAACACCCGCAAAAAAAGCTTAAAATCCTAGGACTGGAAGGGGCCTCGGTGTTCATCTGACCCCCACGCTCAAAGACCCCCATCTGGTGGCCTGACCCCCAAGCAGGCAGCACGCTACTCCTAAATCAGGGATGCCCAGCTGGCAGTCCAAAGGATGCATCCAGTTAACGTGTGGTCCCAAGGCTCCTGGTTTGTCTGCCACTTCCCCCACTGCTCCTGCTGTTGTGGTCTTCCGGCTCCTGCTTCCTCCAGCTTTCACTTCCGACCCCCATCCTTGGGGGCAGAGCAGGGCAGGGCAGCCTGCCCCATGGAGCCTGCAATCCACAGTGAGGCTCAGGACACCCTTGCAGGACAGCATCAGAAGAGGATGCCCGTTGTGCACCTGGGAAGCCTGTGCAGCATAGCTGCAGGGGGCCTACAGCAAGAGGCACCAGTTCCTTGGGGGATGCCTGCCCCATGGCATGTAGCTCAGGGTGCAAATGGCCCCTGACTGTTCAGAAGTTGAACCAGCCCATAAAGCAGGAGGGCTTTGCTTGACTCTGTGCATGTACCGGTGCCAAAGCTGAGCAGCAAGGAGCCGTGCCTATGATGCTACTGCTTCACCCAGGCCCCTGCCCACACACCAACCTCCTCAAGGCTGTGGCACAGGCACAGATTCCAGCAAACCAAGCTCAGAGCAGCTCCCCAGCAACTGGCAGCTACGCTCACACCCCAGCTGAGGAGTGGGGAGGGGCTGGGGGAAAATACATCATCACAGAAGCAGCTCCCAGTGGCCTGGCCCCAGCACTGATTCACAGATGAAGCCACCCAGCCCACGACAGACCAGAGCTGGGTTGTTCTGGTCTGCTGCTTGAAAAGATTGCCAGCTGCTGCCCTAAACCTGTGGTTCTCCACCTTTTTAGACTCAAGGCACCCCTCAGAAAATGCCAGCTCTTAGCTTTCATTCATTTTTTACTACAGAAATATAATATAGCAATTCTTTTCGTGCAAAGAACTCAGAAAGACCACAGGAGGGCAGAATGTTTTTGACACTATGGATTCCTGTTTGAAAGGTCTCAGTTTATGTTGTAAATCCTGTAGGTAGATGTTTGCATACCTAAAAGGGCTAATATTGCCTGGCACCCCACAGCACCCTTAAAAGGATCTCACAGTACCCCAAGGTGCCATGGGATCCTGATTAAGAATCACTGCCTAGATAAGGCCTAACTAGCACCAAATAGAGTTATGCTATTGCTTCCTGCGCATCTACGCATGCAATTAATGCACCTGAATTTTCTCTGCAGAAAGTTCAGCTCATTAAAGTGCTCTGGGATGCATGTCTACACTAGCAGCCCCATTGGGAGCAAATTGCGCCTGACAGAAGTAGCCCAATCCAGGGTGGCTCCTGCCCTGCTCTGCCATCCTGCAGCAGAGCCAGGGGGAGCTACAGCCTCCCCTGGGTGCCAGCACCATGGCTGCAGGGGCGCGGGAGGTGGCACAAGGGCTGGTCCTGATTCTCACCTTCCAGGAGAGCTGTTCCTGCTCAGTGGGGACCACTGCCTGCCAGCCACATGGTAATTGGCAGGGTCCCAATCCCCACATGGCTGGGAGAGTGGTCGTCACTTGGCGGGGGGGGGAGGTATGCTGACTGCCACCCATGTGAGAAGTGGGACCTTCATGTGGCTGGCCAGCAGTATACCTGACGACCAAGCTCTCCCAACCAAGTAAGGATTGGGTCCTGACCTGATCTCCATGTGGTCAGGACACAGCAATCCTGGCTGCCAGGACAGCTCTACCAGCCTCATGGGGATTGGGTCAGGACCCGATCTTCACATAGCAGGTAGACAGCTGCCCCTGCACCCAGCATATGTTCCCACCCTCCCCACCCGCATCAGGGCTTGCATATGTGTAAATGGTGACTAATGGTAATCTAATGCGCCTTAAAACTTAGATTAATGTGCAGTAAAGCATCTCATGTAGATGTGCCCACCCCCGTGTCTTATGCCTAATACTTCCATTGATGCAGCCCAAAATAACATTTTCTTTTTTTTGTGACTACATCACATAGTTGACTCATATTGAATTTGTGATCCACCAAAACCCCCAGATCTTTCTCAGAAATCCTTTCTACCACCCATTCAGTTATTTCCTATTTGTGTACTTGGTTATGGTTATTCTTCCCCAGGTTTAGCACTTCACATTTGTCTGTGTCCAATTTCACTCTGTTGTCACTAGCCCAGCTCTCCAATCAATATCCTTTTGAATTCTACTCCTATTCTCCAAAGTCTTCCCCTCTCTTTAAATGTTCCTCTATGTTGGTAATGATACATCCATTTGTGTTGTGTCAGAGTTGATGGTAGTCTTACATAGAATTTCCATTATGGATTGTATGGGACAGTTTGGATAGGGATGATCCTGTCTCAGATGGCCTATGGAGGTTCCTTCCAGCCCTGCTTCTCTCTTATTCTATGATTTTCAGCCTTTATTTATTGAAGGGGTGTCTGGCATAAGGCCTGCAGGCTGGATCCAGCCTATGGAGCTACTCATTCAGCCCTGGGTAATATGGCGATTGGCAATAGGAGCATGACCAAGAGTTAACAGTCCTGGTCACCCTCTGGCCTCTTCTCCTGTCACCATGGCTGTGACCCTAGCTCCTTGACCACTGGCCCCACTGCTGCCACATGCTGGAGCTACTGCCACTGTCGCCACCACCATCACCACCATGTGTCCTGTGCCTGAGCTAGAGCTAGAGCTGCCACTGCAGTATGGCACACACAACAGGAGCTGGAGCTGTGCTGTGTGCCCCATGCTGGAGCCAGAACTGCTGCCATTGGCACCACCACTGCCATGTGCCCTGGGCTGGATGTAGCCCACAAAAAGCCCCACAGTCCAGATATGGTACAGGGCATAAAGTGAGTTTGACACCACTGCCTTATTGACTTGCTTCAGTAGGTTTTCTCTTGCCTATCCATAATGCAGTTTGGTAAACTTGTATGGTAATCTTGCTCTGAAAGGTGTCCAAGTGGGGTGAATATTAAAGGTTAGAAGCTGCTATCATTTGCTGTTTTGGTGGGGATTGATGTGAACTGAACTGGTGGTCTCAGTTCTTCACCCCCCTTTCCCTCATACTTTCAGCCTATAAATTATGAAGGACATTTGCTACGTTGAGCTCAGTTTGTGACATCTCACAATTTCCAGACCAATAGTTTGTGCTGACACAGGACTGGGAGCATACATGTAAGAAGGACCTGTGAGACCCTCACAAGGCCTACAAGATATGTCTTCAACCAACCCTGTTCCACCAGTACAGAAAAGGGACAGAGCCATAAACCATTTCTCCTGTGTGACTTCCTAGTTTCTAGCACCATAGCTGAACTTTCATTGTTTTGAAACCAGATGTTCAAGTACTGAGACCTGCACAGGCCTTGCATAGGTGGATAAATGGTACCTCCTTTCTCATTCTCCCACCCTGCTTATGTACTCCTGAGGGGATAGTAACAGTCTAGTATGGGTATCATAAAGCAAGGAAAGAGACTGCAGTTAATGAAACGGAGCATCTAGGTTTGTTCAGAAACCCATATTTCAGTTCTAAAATATTCTTTATAAAAATGCAAAACAAGAACTCTTGCTTTGAGCACAAATGATTCAAATGCTGAAAGGCCCTTTATCTGTTGACCTTTCCTTTAAAGCAGAAATGGTCCTTTTAATACCTTTATGAAGTTTCACAACATTCACAAACTAGTTTGATATTGGATTAGCTGTAATATGGGTCATATGAGCAGCAAGAAAGCATTACTTGTTTCAGTAGCATGTGATCTACATTTGCTTAACTCAGGTTTAAGGACAACACTGCCTTGCGACATGCCTACTAATACATGGCATACTAAAAGCAAAATGCCTGGATCATGTACTCCATATAGCTAACTGATTTGTCCCCATGCATTGAAAATCAAAACAAATGCTCTCCAAGTATGGATCTGGTATGAAATTAACTGAATTGATACCACAGTTCCTTGCACATCCTAGACTCCAAAGGTCTGGTTAATTCTGTGCCATCATGGTATTTATTTGTCAAAGCTGTCAAAGAAAAAATATTGCCTGATGTATATTAGATGCTTAATCAAGTTAGCCAATCATCTTTCTATTGTTCTACCAAGACATGGGAAAACATACTCAGGGTGCATCTACATGTCGCCCTATGGCGATGTTTTTACTGCACCATGCTTTAGTACTTTCTTTTGGGAGTACTAAAGCATGGTGCAGTAACTACCTGTACTACGCCGTGCACACAGCGTACAGTTAGTTTTTGCCACTATTTTGACATAGCAGCATGCTAAAATGGTGAAGTATGCCACTATGGCGAAGTAGCTACTAATCACATGTAGACTCACAAGATTGCTATGCCACCATAGCGCGTCATATGGTGAGGTAGTGCATCGCAATGGTGAAGTAGGGGGATGTGTAGATGCACCCTCAGTAGATTAGCTGAGT